CAGGAAAGGGTCGATCGCACTTACAGCCAGAAGCCATTACCTAGTAGTTCCCCAAAGGAGAGGGCGAGCAAAGGACCGAGTCAAGTGAAAAAAGAGAGAGGCGCGTCGCGTTCCTATGGTGGTCTAGTACGCAAGGCCAGGAATGTAGACTATAGAGTTCCTGGAGTAACCGCGGCGATTCCCCGTTGGACGAAGAGACGAAGAGGGGGGGGCAATTGTCCGGGATGGAGGATTCTGGTTGGACTGGAGCCTCGAGAAGAGCGTTTCCTAGGAGGCGCGACTGTCTCTGGATTAAAAGACAAGACGCGGTTGCTTTGTGGTTCGTTGTAGGAATAGCTCGAGAAGGGGGGGGTGTGGAGGAGGAAGAGGGCGTGTGCGGTTCGAGATCAAGGCGATGGCGATAAATGGAGAGGAGACAATCGATAAGCCGCCCTGCGACGCGGTTTGCACGGTTTTCCCTGTCTTTCCCAAGGCGGAGCAGTCTGAATCAATGAAAGAAAGAGAAAGGATGTCTCAGTTGCAGCGGAGGGATGTAGTTATAGGAAAGGCAGGCTGGTCCAGCAAGGGGATCTGGATACAATTGGGTGGAGGACGCAAGTAGGAAGGAAGGATGTCTTAGGATTATTAGATGGAAAGCGTAAAGTTGTCTAATATTGCACTGGGGATGGTAATGGGGATGATGATTTTCCAAGGCTGAAGCTTTTCCTGGCGGGGTTGTTCACAGGGGAGATTCTGGGGAGTCCGTGGGAGGTTAAATGTTAAATCCCATTCTGGTGAGTCTATCGTCGATTTACTGTTTCGGGCGAAGAAGCAGGCCCGGAGGGTGTGTGAGGAACCTTTTTCCCAGCTAAGTCTTCTTCTTTTTGGTTTTATTCTATTTTATTTTGGTTTTTTGATTTCCAGATTTCATCCCTCACCTCCAGTCATTTTCTTTTCGTCGATTTTCTTTTTATTTTTATTTTTTTTTCTTTTACCCTTCTTTCTTATTTTTATTTTCCTGGAATTTCCATTTTATTTTATTTTTATTTCCCCTTCTACTTCTAGGTCTATATTTATTTTCATTTTTTCTTCTTTTAATCCACTAACGTCGATCTACCTCGAAGGAAAATCCACCTTATTGATCGCCTCGGATTTTTTAATCAGATTCCCTGTTCAACCTTCTTATCATTTAGGATTATTGCTTGGGAAAGCAAGTAAGCAAGTAGGAGAGTACCAGCTAAGTAGGTATCCCAAAGCTATCGCCAATACACCCAATATCCTTTCCTACCTAGTTTTAAGCAAGTGGTTGTCAAGATCCCCTCTCTAGTACCTCGTAGTATTGAACAAAATGGAATTCATTGGCCCCTTCTTTCCAGATCAAGTGGGCGTGTGGACGAATCTTCTTTCATTCTACGAGATCCCTTCCAACTCATCTAATTGGAATTAGTCTATAGCCCAAAGGAGCCCTTTTGTGGTCTACTTCCAGAAGTATTGGGAGTCGAATGTAGGAAGGAAAATAAGATAATGTACCAAATGGATATACACAATCTGTCCTACCACGGTTTAGAAAGGGAAAGAGAAAGAAGGAGTAGAACTTAGTAGTCCCTACTACTATTCCTACTACTACTACTACTCCGACCTACCTACCAACCAACCTACTGTACGTGCGTTGAATACCACCAAATGCAACCCGCCAATCCGATCATAATTTCTTTTGAGTCCCGAAACTGTTCCTGGGAGGGAGGATATCCACAGCGTCACTTTTGTCTTTCCCCCCAAGCCAGAAAAAGAAAAAGGAATGAATGCATGAGACGCAGATGGAGGAGAACCGCCGATGGAATGTTCGAATGTCAGCGCACAGCGAAACATCACTGGGGCCAGGCGGGCCATGGGGGATTAACTAAACCTTAACGCGGATCATGGAATTGGATCATCATCATCATAGTAATCATCAGCTCGTCCAGAATCTCGGGATCTTCCCCGGGCAGAAGAACCCACCGCAAACTTACTCTTGCCAGTTGCTGGCTCGGGATGGCTGCAAGTAGGCTATCGAAAGTAAAACACCGGCAGATACCAGGTCATTTCATCTTTTCCCCATTCTTCCTCCAGCAGCGTCGTCGTACGACCGATTCTTTCGGGGGGGGGGGTGGTCTGTCCGTCCCACGGTCATTGCACCGCAAAGACCCTGAATGATCGGCATCGCTGAACCTCCATGTGGAGCGACTGGAGGTTTCGCTTCGGCAATGAAACATGTACGCATACTAATTTCCAGACACAATTATGCAACAAAAAGAAATGAAGTGGAAAAGTCACAAACGCAGCGATCTGGTAGGTCGGTAACGGCTAAAACAAACCCACCACCGCCGTCATTCACAACATCATCAACATCATCATCATCACCACCACCACCACCACCACCATTAATCACGAATACTACACGAAACAGTAACGATGCTACCTTCTTCCTATTGCTCAATTCTTCTTGGATCTACACCATGCCAGCCTTACTAGTACCAATGGGCATGTATGGGGCACGGCTCAGGTGCATTTCTTACGCCACAGGTTCCATAACTATCACCGATCGCCTTTTGGTTTCAACGCCACCGTCTAGGCCAGCTTCGGCCAGTGCGTTCATTGTTGGAACCGGAGGGCTGATAATCGCACATCTACACTAACTCGAAGGCCCTTGGGCCATCCATCAGGAACGTTCAGACCGTCGAAATTAATGGGTCCACCTCAACCGAGATCTGGTGAACTTTGCCCGAAGAGGGAAACACGCATGACAATAGTTCCCATCAATTTACGGACATTTCAGGGAACCAAAGGAAGGTAAATCGAAGAAGAGTTAAAAGTGGGAAAGAGGAAAAGAGGGCAGACAGAGCCAGCCACAGACCCGAGAGGAGCCAACACCGCTACTATTCTTACGATTATCGTATGCAAACCCCTACGCATAAGCAACGTAGTTTTGGGGCTTCCAGAGATAACTGTCCGTTGGGTCAGGTACTGCCCGCGCGGGAGTGTCCAGCGTGGGGATTTTCTATGGTCCCATGGTCCGAGCCAACCGAGACAGCATCTGCTGTTCTGAACGGCTGTTTTATGCCCAAATACAACAATTCACTGGCATTCACCGTTTGCTAGATTCTGGTCTGTGCAAACCCGGGCTGGATTGCAGACGAGCCCTGATCTCCTATGGTTTCCGACTGCAGACTGCCAGACAGGCCGCATCCTGATTCCAAACCCGGCCAAAGTCGAACATAAAGTAAGAATGGCGATATACCAGTTGGCCACGCACTAGATAAGTGATTGCCACGGGAAAATAGCCGATCAAACATGGCCTCCATACCGCGGGGAAGTAATTTGGGATCCGAAGTGACAGGACTAAGGATCCGAGCGAATTCATGAGAGGTAAGATATTCCTTGTTCTTCCAAGATCACCACTTAGCTGGTTTGTGTAGGTACCACCAAGGGTCTATCATGTTGGCCCGTAGACTGCTTACATTCAAGTCCCGTGTCGACCGAGGGCTTCGTACTACCTCAATGCGGGCTACCTACGTATGACCACTACACAACTAGAGAAGCATGATCCAGTCAACAGAAGTAGTTCTTGTAATTTTCATTCTTCTTTGGAAAGAAAGATAAGAAAAATAAAAATAATAATAATAATAATAATAATATAAGGGGCTGATTGTGCGATTACCACCACCGGAATGGTGCAGCAAGAAGACTGCATTGGGGACTGGCAGCTATGTTGATTAGCAGCAGGCAGATATCGTTGAGGGCTAGGGAACTAATAACGAGGCAGAAGAGATGCGTACCTATCCACCTTTTGGGGGGTAGGTTACAACTGGAGCGATCACGTATTCAACGCCCCGTCTGTACTTTTCACTTCCACCATTTTCCGCCCATTCTGGGATCGACTGGAAGAGGCATGAAGAGCAGCCGAAAGGCGCTTTGGCCGACGATCACTGATCGTACGCACATCATCCACCTGGACCAGTGGGCGGGTGGTCGACACTGGCTGGATCCTGCAGGTTTGAAATCCGGCCTCCAGCCCCCCGGGGTGGGCCAGCCGAACCTATCAGAAACCCGCCAGCCTTGCCAGATGCCAACAGCCACTCGGGCCCTTTGCCCAGGAACGCTCCGGCCTGGGTTATGGCCTATAGTGGTCCGTCACTGGTACCTTCTGGTCCTCTGAGATGTACCTAGTACAGTAGTCTCCTGTACCAGTCACTGTGGAATGTGGGGGTTGGTTAGTGAGTGCTTCTTCTATCCACCGATTGTACCCAGTACCTCTTAATCGGTGGACTTACGAAGGTACCGAGTATGTACCTCGTATAGTATGTTAAGTACCTTGCAACAACTCTTCTGAGTTAAGTACCAAGTACCAGTTGGTTAGGTTACAACTAAGTATGTTGATGGTAACTAAACCTAGTAAGGTACCTGGTTTTTACTTGTACCGACCGGTGGTAACTGGTAAGTAACCAAGTACGTAGAAGGCAGAGAAAAACACTCAATCACTCACTCTCTCACTCACTCACACAGTATGGTTCCATTCTAGCCGATTCCAGTAGTTGTGCCACTCACTCAACGCCTTCCTCACAGCGTCACCAGGTCCTTTCTTTCCCTCCCCACCCCCCACCCGAGTCATACCTCGATCGTCCTTATCGTCGCCATCACCTCAAATCCCATCATGACTGGCGGGTGGTCTTTTCTGGTGTGTACCACATCTTTCAGCGGATACGTATAGCACGGTCTACATACATACATACATACCTGCCTATCTGTTATTCACCTCCCCCACCAGATGCTTGTCTCGTCTCATGACTGGTCTGGTTCTTCTCGCCTTTGCCTCCCTCATTCTCGATGGTCATTGACTGACTCGAACGATGTTCCAGCAGGCAGAACCTCTGAGTATTGGTTACTTTCGCTCAACTGCCATTTCAGAAAAGATTTTTGGGGTTCCATTGACTCTTCCTCGTCATTGCTTTTCCCGCCGGTGAGGCGGCGCAGTTTCTGACTCGTCACGCGTCAGCCAATGCTTCGATCCTCTGGGCATGAACCCCGTTGCTTCCATGCGAGAAAAAGAGAACCACCAGCTGGACAAGTCTATCGGTCGGACACGTTGTTTGCTCTCCCCTAGTACTTTTGGGCTGATAAGGTACTGTCCTGGGACCATTGGCCGTGGATACTCTTATCCAGATTATGGGCTAAGTGACGACCGTTGCTATTGCTTGTAACTTCCGAGCAAAGTGGCCTGTCCACGAAGTCACTGACAAGAGACGGCTTTTCCTGGAAGGCTTTCCTGTAGCTTTTTATCTTCAAATGAGGTGCTAAGGCTTTCCACAATAACCGGCCTCCAGTGGTCTTCAAGAAAACAATCGCCCATACATTGAATCGAACACCCCATGAAATGTATGATAGTACCTTCGGTCTGGAATTGCGGTCGGATATTGTCGACAATGTAACCCGCCTGATCAACCACCGCATTGACACATTTCTGACTCGAAGCAAGCTAGGAATTACCATGTCTTAGCCTATGCTGTGTGTTGGGACTTGAAACCAAGTCTCATAACTACCTGCCAATATCGTACTTAGTCACTGGGTCCTAACTCCACTACTGAGCCCACACCACTGTGTATGAGAGGTACACACATGCGTGAAAGTATCTTTCGTGACATGGATAACGATGACACATTGACCCCTCTCATCGTCGATATCTCACGGAGCCCCTCGCTATGACCGGATAGGAAGCATGAAAGACAAAGGGGATAGGTTCTCGTCAAGCCACTAAGAAACAAAGTTTATACCCGGTGCGACGCTAATGAATGGTGTCTGTGGGTGGGTTTGACAGTTCCCCTGCTTGGCTACTCATCGATAGACTAGCTCTTACTATACTGAGAGCTCGTAATTAGCTGAGGCTTACGGTCACCAGGGTTTGCCTATTGTATCATGAGCTTCGTCCAAAGGCAATAGGTATCTTTTTGGGACATATCGGGATTTGTGCAGCATCGCGGATCTAATGGGAGCGTGTACTCCGCATACAATCGCTGACCTGGCCGGATCGCTATTCTTGGTCTCTCACACTCCCTACTGCTGCTGAGCCACACTCCCAAAGAAGGAACTGAGCCACAGCCGCTATTGCCTAGCCACTTGTGACTTGTCATTTCCTCCGTCGTTCTAGGCTCGGCCGAACGATATCACCGCTGGTTGAAGCCTCCACTTTTCCCAATCCACCAAGTCCATGATGTTCTCGAAGGCTTTACTTACTTATCCAAGCATTGTGCACCGCTGATCTTGGCAACTACCAAAAGACCGTGCGTCGCAGCCTATACTCAGCCGCACAAAGGCAATCTTGCAGGCTTGCCGGTTATAAGCCTGTAGCAGCGCAGCATCATATGGTTTCTGGGCGATTGGTTCTACATCCGGAGTGAGCAGAGTGGAACGGACAGACAATCTTCCGAAAATAATGGCCTCCCTTGACTGTTCTGGCCCGAGCTCAGCGAGCCACAATTCATCAGTCAATTAATCAGCCCAATTGATTCGTTGCTGAATTGTGTACCTTGGGCGACTATACTGCTTCCATCTCAAAGGAGCGGCTGACGTCAAGTGGCTGTCTTACCACCTAGATTATGTAGCTATGACCACCCGCTTTGATCAAACCCCGGATTTTCAATTGAACTTTGATCGCCAGATCCCTTTAATCCCGCCTATTGGGAGAAGGTTTTCTTGATGAGAAAAATAGGCAATAGGTCAAATACGCTAAGATCATCAATCGGGCCCCGAGCGGGTATCTAGGAGCTAAGTAACTCTTGTTATCACCCGCGGACAGGCACACTGACCGCCGGGTTGAGTTAGACTACGGGTTCATTCGACACGCGACCTTTCTGTGGTTGTTTGTTCAACCTCCTTCTACTCCTATTGAAGATGTAATCGACATACGAGCCTTCTGGGCTATTTGTCAACCGTCCCTGTGCTATCACGGCGTTTCTTCGTCGCAAATCTCACCAAATCCTGCTTTCCGTCGTCCCAAGGGCGAACCCCTGCAGCACGGGCCTGTATGTCGCAAGGAGTTAACCGGACAATTCAAGGGCGTTGAGATCTTCGAAAGGGTTCCTGCGGTGAGATTCGAACCCACTGCATTGACGATGCTGCCAAGACCACGATCAGCCGGATCCTGGATATTCCCTCCCTTTATTATCTTTCTGCCCACCGATCAATATATTGGACCCAGATTCAGTCCGCTCCGATGAAGGTGCGAAAAAATTGGCCGATTGTGGCTTCCTACCACCCAAAAAGAAACGCCTGTGAGAAACCAATTGCAAAGGAAACTTGATCAGATCTACTCCAGACGTCGACTAACCTAGATCTTGAATTACAAACGTGTGAAAGCATCACTTCTGGCCACCGGCGCGACGAGGGCTAGACTTATGGTTATTTCAAATATGTTTTCTGCCTATCTTGCTACATCCCCTAGTTCCAGCCAAGGTTTGGCTATGAAGGTATTGAGATTGTCCAAGAATTGCAGCGCACGGGTACGATACTCGTCCGTGAGCCAGCTAATGAAGACAAAGAGAGAAAGGGCCACAGAACATGGGAATCTGCACGACGACAATAATAGCGATAGGAGAAAGGTTGGTAACGTCTTGCTAGTTTGATTGCTTGGACCTGCAACAGCAAAGTCTTTCATCCACTCGCACAGCCACAGGTCTCCGTGGCTGGTTTGAGGCCTGGCTAAAAATGTCACTCGCCAAAGCGGAGGAGCCGTTTGGGTTCAGCAATCTACACCCCTTCTGCCCGATCGGTCATCGATGATCTGCGTCGCAGCATCCTAAGTATGGAGTACTCTGTTATCTATCGTGACTGAGCCATATCCACCCTTAGCCTAGAGGCTCCATTCCGGTTTATCTGAAGCTCTGGCAAGCAGCGGCACTGCTTCCCATTTTCCATCTTATTCCACGGCGCCCTCAACAGTCACAATCCGCCAGTATGTACAGGTCTGGATCAAGTAAGCGAGGGCTTGAATAAGTGGTGGGTTGGGTCGGCGTAGATTGGTGTTTATTGGGCTTTGTTCTACATGCCCTCCTGAACGTCAACAGAGCAGTCAACAACCTGCTGCAGGTACACCATCCCAGTACAATGTCTTCTGTGCGACCGTTCGGGACGCGATTCTTCTTTCTTCCCTCTTTTCTCGACCTTTCTCGGGGGAAGCCCATGGAATAATTGGCCAGAACCTGATTAACTCCCAAGAAAAGTCCACGGAGCATTAAGAAGCAGGATCAACACTGAATGTCGCTGAACAAGGTCCATTCATGTCTCAGCTGCTGCGCAGCCCTCCCGTGCTTCGTTCTATTCCTGTTTCATCAGCATCCATGCAAGACACGGCCAACAGTTATCAGCTATGGTTCCTTTTCACTGGAGGGCGAGTGGAGAGTGTTCTGTAGGGGGCGGATCCCAATCGGGCAATCCCAGCTCTGCTAGTGCTGCATTGTCCGCCCCTTGCGTCCCGACTTTTTCCCTTTCTCTGCCAAACCACCCCCAATAAATGGAGAGACTCAGGGTTCGCGATTGGCTGAAGACCCCCAATTTCATCAATCTGCCCACCAATATCGCCATTTTGAGTTGCATTGCATTGCATTGCGTTGGCGTTGAAGGCCCATTCCTGGCCTTGGCCTATGGAGTCGTGCAGAAGCAGGCCTATCTGGGCAAGCGATTTTCAGCAGCGAACCAACCCCACACAGACTCGTGCGCGCGACACGACCATCTTTCCGTTCTGGTCCAACGGCGGTGGCTGTCTGGGGAGCATGGCAGGAGGAAGGTGTGCGAGACGGTCCTCGCGCAGCTGCTTATCAAAGTGGCCCATTCTCATCGACGTCATTTTATTGATTTCCCTTGGGCACCAATCCACTATTGGCCGCACTCTCGGGCTCCTTGGGCTCTCGTTAATTATTAGCTAATATATTGTTCCAGGGGCTGTTCTCTTTCTCCCCACGTCCCCTCCGCACTGTACGACGGAAGTTCTCGCGAACCCTCCCGAATCTTTCGGCTGCTCTTCAACTATAGATTCGTGAAACCCTAGATGTCTCCATAACCCGGAAATAGAGCATTCAATCCCAGAATGGGGATTGCCGGCTGAACCATCACAATAAGCCACGCCCAAGCTTCTGCATCCCCAGCCTAACCCGCGATAGTAGGTACTGTATCGCTCTGCAACGCTTCACTACGACGTGGTGAGGTACTCTAATGTACTATTCTGATTGGAATGTGCAGGACGACCTGAAACCTAGCCATTCGCCAGCCATTCTCTTCGGCCGGAGTGACTGGACTGGCTCGGATCCCCCCTCCATCCTACTCAGGACACCCACCTCACCACCCAACCGGGTGGCCGGACCACGCGCACATACCCTCTCTCTCATGCAGACTAACCCATTTACATACATCCGTACATCATCCATGCAACTGTGACACAAACCAAAAACTCAATATCAGCCTTGACGCCGCGGAGAGTCGTTCCTGACCCCTTCCTACTTGGGCAGTTCGACACTTTCCTGGTCCGTGGCTGGCTCGACCATGGCGCACGTACCGTATATCTGCAGCGGAGATCATTGTAGATCTGCAGATCATGTTCCAGTGGGCCGGTCTCTTATTTGTCCCAGCTTACGCTCTTTGCTACGATTGTGAAGTGTTTAGCATGAACGTCCCAAACAGAATAATACTCCACGGCATTTGGTAGATTTGGATGGGGGGAAAGAACAATCACACACAGGACTTGCTGTCGAGTCATGTCCATGGATACTATTGTGCCACATAGTGGTCTCAAAGTCAACCTCCTCTAGTGAATTTATGGTCACGGGCCCCTTTGGCTGGTTGCCATGTGACAGTTCCAGCTCAGGCAGTTGGCCTCACTGCAACTGACAGCCTCTACAGTACGTTTCAGCTACACACAATAACGACACAACCATGATTTGCATGCTACCGAGTCGAACCACACGACAAGGCAATATCTTGTGACATGACAGAACTTAATGCTAATCAGTTGGTCGCCTTCTTGATTTCGTAGAGTGTCTGTGGATATCCATGACTCAAAGCACCTTCAATATCCTCTGCCTGCAACTCTCGAATCCTGTAATTAACACATTCACATTTCGTTTCAGACAGTTTAGTCTAGAAAATGGATAACTCAAGTAGGCAGATAAATCCACATCTCGGCATTCGTCGATCATGCCGTTGGGATACTACTACCTTCGCACAGAGAACGAGCAGCTGAGCATGTGTACAAATGTAATAATATCGACACATATAATTCAATCTTGTTCAGCTGAGCCCCATTCACCCCCCCCCCCCCAATCACTACCACGTAAATGATAGTAACTAACTAACTTACTACTACTCGTAGTCGTGGCCTAGGCCTAGTAATAATAACAGTTGCGCATATACCTGTCTATCCTAACTGAATTACTTACTAATATATTTGTCGGAACCTGTAGGATCCGTGACGCTCAGAGATTTATGATATTAACTTAACTCAGGTATACGGACTTTTATCCAGATCTAGGTGTGGATAGCGGGTGTTGCTTCGCCCGCTTAGAGATAATGGGTTGTTTGTGATCTATTATTATAATTAGTTTACTACTGGGTTGTCAGATTATCAAGATAGATAGGTAACCCAATGGTTATAGTAACTACTTGCTACCGGTGTGATGAGGTGCGAGTCTCGACTATCTTACTAGTAAATATATGTATATATATATATAGTACTGTGTTGTGTATGGGATGCGGAACATTGTTTTCGATTTCTCTTCAAAAGGTAAACAGTATAGGTTCCTATAGACAAGTGTTCCTAGGAGAATAAACCTACTCCAAGATGTTGCTGCAGATTAGACAAAAAGATTGCTATATATAGTTGTTGACGCTCAGAGTTCCAGACTCTCAGATCCATAGCCAAACTCATTGTCAGTAGGTTCTTCTGGCTCAGACGAGGCCTGGAACTGTTCGGCAGCCCTAGCTGCAGCCTTTTTCCAGTCCGCCAGCGTGCTGGTCGAGAATACGTTGTTCCCCTCGTCTAGATAGGCTAGCCCATCCATCGCCCGACCCCCACAGGCGCGCTGAAGGGCCAGGAACGCGAAGTGGCCGCCGATTACCGGTCGAGCGTAAAAGTTCGGCCCAGGGAACTCGCCCTTGCCCTCCGTGTTGTGGAGATCGGTGAACGGAAGGTCGGTGACCGTCTCGTTGACCCATTTGGCGACGGATTCGAGAACCTCGCTACGAACGTTCTCGCTGGCAACAGCCATGGAGAAGAACTCCCAGTCGGTCTTGGTATACAAGTGCCGGCTGTCGAGAGGGAGGCCATACTTCTGACGCACATTATGGTACCAAATTGACTGTCTCTGGTAGATGTGTCGGGGCACGAAGCCCGTCTTGTGCGGGTGAGGAGGGTGGGGATGGAGGGGTCTTTGTTTGGAGCCGGACGTGGCGTGTGGAGAGGTATCGGTGCCTTCCAGATGGAAGCACAGCAGTGCATCGGCGTACAGATTGTAGATGGTGGTCCACGATCCATACCAGTCGTAAGCGAGCTTCGCGTGTGTCTGGTCTCGAGACATGCCCAACTCCTCCCACTTGGTAATGTAGCTATCTGCGATATCCTGTGATGGATGGTTAGAGATGCGCTTTGCAGATCTGACTGCGCAAACTCACCTTGTAGTAAGAGGCGTCTTCATCATTGCCAACCACCTCAGCTAGCTTGCTCATGGCATTGATGCCGACGATACCTTTGAGCGCCAAGTTCGTTTGAAGCGCAAGCCAGCCGGCGAAATCGTCCGTCGAAACTATCTGAGAGTCAGCTATTGCTATGAAGTCCTCTCAGGTGACAGCTTACGCTGATTCTCGGGCTCCAGCGAGAACTCCACGAGATAGCCAGTCCACTGTTTCCAGAGACGATAGCTGCGCTGGAGCCATCTCTCCGCCTCACGTTGGCCTTGTATACCACCACCCCAACGTCCATCTTGCTTATCAATACCTCCATGTGCTTGGAGGTTTACAAGGGGAAAGTACCCAGGATGGTCGTCCGAAAGTACAGGGCTCTCGCCTTGCGTTGACCAGATGGATGACGCAGTAGAATCTTCCGAATAACGCAGCGAGTTCACAATGGCCAAACCCATGATGAGGATGTTACCGCATTCCTCCACAGGCATGTACTCATCGTTTCCATCGGGATGTCCTGTGGCATTCGGGAAGTGAGTTCCCAAGTCATGCATGGCGTACGTGTTTGGATATTGTCCACTCAACATATGCTCAATTAACGGCTCCAGAAGATAGGCCAACCACCGCGGGTTAGTGTACAAGAAAAACGGGAAAGCAGGGAAGATGACATCAATTGTCTGGAAGTTTCCGTTGGATGAGATCTCTTTCAGAAACAAAATTGGATTTTCAGGCGTCCCGGAGAAGGTAGTTGCTCCCATGACCTGTCTAGCAGAGAGTGCGACAATGTCAACGTAGTCGTGTGCGCCCGACTGATAGGCATCCTTGGCTAACTGTTCCGAGTAGTTGGAGGCCAGCGCACTCGCCTGGGAGAAATCGTGGTAGTGGAAGTTCAGGAGCGCGTCGACGCTAGGGAACCATGACTCCCACAGAGGTCGCATCAGAGTCAAACCACGTGCAGAGGCATATTGGACAACAGGATCATGAATCAAGGCAATGCTGAAGGTTACGCTGGCGCTGGTCGGCCCCGATTTCCGGTTTAGGACGAATGACTTGGAGAAAGCAAAGACCGGCTCTCGGTCTCCAATGGCACGGAAGACTTCATCGTTGACGTTGTCCAGGACTCCTTGAGTCAAGAAGGTTTTCCTTACGGCCGACGCCTCGCCAGACTGAAAGTGGACATCCTAGATGCACGGGTCAGCACCGAGCAGAGTGACACTACCGACGAGTTTACATACGGCGGGCGCAGTGAAGTGAAGAGTGCCCCATTCGGCGCGGTCGCGGATTTCCGAAAACAGCAGCTCAGACTGTCTCTGGTATCGCCATCTTCGCAAAGCCGGTTTATTGTCTTTCGCATCGAACGCGTCATACTGCCAAGAGATATGACTCCGGGTGTCACCGCTCACCCAGCCTCCATTGATGTCCAGATAGACATTGACGCTTACTTCACCGTGGACATGGACTGTGACATATGATGCAGGAATCGACTGCCGCAGAGTCGATGTAGGAGTGATGGGAGACAAGAAGGAGACGGTGATCTCCAGGGGATGGGAAGCAGAGGTGGAGGGATCAATGCGGTAAGTCAAATTGGTGGTAGATGCGTCGTAGTTGGCTCCAAGGTATGTCGGGAAATCAATTTGTGACCTAGCAGCATTTATTAGTTGGAACGGCCGTGGATGGGGATGATGCTGCGCGAGTGCCTACCCAGGCAGGGATTCGTGAGGCTTGCCCAACAATGGATACACGGTGCCTGTGCTGGGGACATGAGCCATCAGAGAGAGGCCCACCTCCTCGCCAGTGTAGAACATGGGCCATTTGGTCCAGGGTTCATCTCTGGCATTTCCAAGCCAGGTGCTCAGATAGGGATTCCGCACGATCAGAGGTAGAACGGGCGGCGTCAAGGTGGATGCAATGCCGACGGTCGCCTGAAGGGCGGCTGCCAGCACCGCAAGGGATGGGCGCATTGCGGCTGATTCAAGGCAGTCAACCGACAGGTAATGAATAAAGATATCAGACAAACGATAGGTGATGATGGATAGGATGGGGGAAGCTATCCATCAAGCAGCAGTGATGGATGGAGGCGGAAGAGGAGAGCGGAGGTGGAGGTGTTAAGGTCGGGGATCGTAAACAGCTGAACAGTAAGCACCTGATGATGCAATCACTCCATGACAGGGCAACGATCGACACGGTCGGAGCAGCGAACGAAGTTGCACTGTCCGAGCCACTATCAGACCCCCAAAAGGATGACGACTCAAGAGGATATAAAAGGATTGGAGTAATTTGTACGACACATGAGGACTCGATGGCAAAGACCGAGTCTCCGAGAACCAAAATGCGGGGAAAGCTGGGGATTCCCGCATCGGGACGATAAGCTAATCTGCCAGGCACCACATCTTCAAAGAATAATACACTGTTATTGTATTTTTCAGTGGCCCAGCAGTTAGCTTAAGGAAGCTCAGAATAGTAGACCTAGGGCATCCTCTCCCTTAGCAGTTCCATCCAGCAGATAAAGACCTTGAGCTCAACACATAGTTAGATACAGTGATATCTTCATATTGTTACACGATGTGCACACACAATATATTATATAATAACACCATCTGTACAAGAGTAAGCTCTAATATTGAAATCATCTTTTGATACTACAGCATCTTAGCTAAAATAAAAGGAAAACCAGGCTTGTAATGAAGTCGTTTCCGCTTGTGATAGTGTATTTTACTATTTACCACTTGGACAAGAAAGCTTCGAGGATGCGATGTTATTATCATACCTCAATTGAGATCACCATGTCCGAAACTCCCATGGATTATAATTACTAGTAGAATTCGATACTCCTAGTACGAACCTCCTAGTATGATAATTATCAAGATGGTTTAGAAAAAGGGGAGTATCAAGATATCCCCCAAAACATAGCATGTCGGGACACATAAGATCTTACAATAGCGCTTAGTCTATTACATAGACTTGAAGCCTTCACTGTACTCATTGGAGAGACATGATACCAAATGCTACATCTGTACCATTGGACATAAAATGTACACGGCGATACGCTAAAGGTGTTTTCTAGTAGCCATGCCAACTGTATCAATGAGC